GTCATTCACTTTTTAGCAAAACACAAAACTGTGACAACTTCTTCCCTTTTTACAACCACACACGCACACAAACACGCACGTGGGCACACACATACACATACACACATGAGCGCGCACACACAAAAACATTCAAACAAACACAAAAGAACAGAACATATTCTATAGCTCTGCAATAACTTAAAAGAAACGAAGAATCCTTCTTGGAAGGAAAGAACATTAAAAATACACATGTAATTCATAGCAAGTTTCTTTTCTTGATTTTTTTTTTTTTAAACATTTTTCTTTAGAGCACGTTTTTTTCCCGTGAATCAGATAAAATAAGAATCCGAAAAGAACCAATCTTGATTGGCCTATTTAAGTGATAAATCAGAGAGATAAACAGAGTCAATAATAGGCTGAGGGGTGCAACTGCTAAAAGGGGGAGGTTCTGACCTTAATGGTTTCGAGATCGAAGTAAACATTGCAAGAGAAAATCAATACAATTAGAGGTAGTTTCCAACCAGACCTGAAACAATAGCCTGCAAAGCCAAGCCTTTTGAAAAAGTATAACAGCAAGCATTGACAGGGAAGGTGGCGGGGTGGTGGTTGGGTGGGTTGGGAGGTGAGGGAGAGGTTGGGTGGATTCTGCGTTATTCAAGGTGACTTGTGTTAAGCTGTTAAGTCATTTCGGTGGAGATTCGTATTCGGTTTTGTGGATGAGCGGGTGAGGGTGTGTGTGTGTATGTGTGTGTGTGTGTGTGTGTGTGTGTGTGTGTGTGTGTGTGTGTGTGTGTGTTTTGGTTTTTGTTTATTTTTTGTCGGGTTTCTTTGTTTGTTTATTTTCTCTTCGTTTATTTAGGTAATTGGATTCATTTCGGTGCAAAAAACGAGGGGTGCGTGTTTTATTGCTCCCGCCCTAGGCTTTCTCACCCTTTCTTTCACTGTCAGTGTCTGTTGAAGTCGTTCTCTCATTCTCAGTAGACTACTTTGTTAAATTAGGCCCAACGTTTCAGAATGGTAGCAGAATGGATATAGATCTATACGAGTACAGGTATTCGAGGTAAATTGATTTCAGGTCAGACATTGCCTTGTAAAACTTTTTGGCCTACTATTCTGATGTGGTCACTGACTTGGATCTGAGATTGGAAAGGACGGGGAGGAGGGGGGGGGAGTTGTTTAGAACAAGCAGTTTCATCGCACAAAAGAAGGGAAGAGAAACAGAAGGTATTAGTTAACTTCCTCAGGTATCGTGGCACATTTTTTTTTCTTTTGTATCCGTTTTACAAATGTTTCGACTTTATCCGTCGCAAATAAATATTTTTATAATTGGATGTTTTTATTTTTAAAATTAGAACTATAGTCTATGAGCAAGATAGATCTTGTCCAAAACAAAAAAAACATCTTTTTTTTATTTATTTTTTTTGGTTGTTGTTTTGTTTTGTTTTTTTGTAGATAACTTTTGACAGCCTCTATGCCGATTTTTTATCAAACTTTTACCAATAATCGTGTATCAATGTGTCTTAATTATTTGAGGAAATGATGCTGACCCAAGTATTAAAAACCAGGGGGTTTTTTCTCTTTGTCTTTGTTGTTTAAAAAAATAACGTATTGAGTAGAAAAGTGTGACAACTTACAGTTTTACTCCTAACATCATGTCTGATAGTGAGACAACTACAGTTTTACTCCTAACATCATGTCTGATAGTGAGATAACTTACAGTTTTACTCATAACATCATGTCTGATAGTGAGATAACTTACAGTTTTACTCATAACATCATGTCTGATAGTGAGACAACTTACAGTTTTACTCATAACATCATGTCTGATAGTGAGACAACTTACAGTTTTACTCATCATAACATCATGTCTGATAGTGAGACAACTTACAGTTTTACTCATTCATAACATCATGTCTGATAGTGAGACAACTTACAGTTTTACTCATCATAACATCATGTCTGATAGTGAGACAACTTACAGTTTTACTCATTCATAACATCATGTCTGATAGTGAGACAACTTACAGTTTTACTCAT